ACGTAATAGGTTGATGAGATTTCTGGCCATGAATTTCTATGCTGTTCATAGGCAATCGGCATCAGACTTTGGGAATGGGAGCAGGTAAGCATATTGTAGTGAAGAAGGTACCCGCATGTGGTGATAAAGATGATGTGTAATCGTTTCCCGGCAGCCAGTGCAATGGTGTTATCGGCTACTTGTCACCAGACCATGAACACTTCCAAAGTTCATCCCGCCTACAAACACATTGTTGGACGGTGCTGAGAGCTTTTTGCAACAGGATTTCTCGAGCCGTCTGCCCTCTCTTGCCCCTCCTCTCTGCCCTCTGCTCTCTGTGGGCGAGAATGCAGACTGGTATAGTCAGTTGCAGAAACGGTCTAATTTCCAACTTTTACGAAACAATACTGTAAAATTTTTTCCTACTCATTTCCCAAAAATACTACATTTCTTCCAAGTTATGTACCCCAGCCTTAAGATGGGGTTAGAGGCTTTTGTGACCCGCTGTGGCCAGACCTCCACACCAGGGAATCCCAGTTCTATGAGAGATAGCCTTAAGTATGTGATGACCCTTGCTGGTTGTAATCTTGGAAATCTTAACACCAACTGAAGTCAGTTTGAAAAAAACAATCGAAAAGTCAATACAAGGAAGTGGTCCTTACTTTTTTCAATGCCGCGTAGCAAACCAACAGCCATTTCTTCGGGGTAATTATCATTGTCCTCAATGAAAGTCACTTTGAAAAAATTGAGCAGTCGAAGAGGACAGCCACATATCACAGCAATTCAGCATTTCTCGAATTCTGGGCATTTAACGTAGAGGAGCGACAAGGCTCGCTAATAATACAATAAAAAAATGGCTCAAAGTGCCAGTCAAGATGAATATCCGTAGCCTTTTTACATGCACCTACCATCGACAGGGTTTCCAACCAGGACCCAGGAGGTTATAGCACTTATAAGGGCGTAACGCTTTAAGACAGGAACTTGGTTCCTACCGTGACCCTATCGTCAAGTGAAATGCAGTAGACGCACAGCTTCACGGACAACATGTTTCACTGGACGGTATGATTTTATTTCATTTCATACATTCCATTAATATACGGAAAAATACGTTAATGTCGACTCCCATATGGGGAGATTGGGTCCGGTATCTTCTCCCCGAGAACGGCGTCACGTTCATCGCACCCGATTGCGCGCAATAGGGGGAAGATCTGGATCCCCAGTGCAAGGATAGGGTAGCCGCGGCGTGACCTTCGCCCCTTGCCGTGGGAACTTGGTGCGAACTTTCGGCGCCCGGGGAGATTCTGGGACAGGCCTGATAAACTTTCCAGAGAAGAGATCCAGATTCTTCCACTTTGCAGTTCTGCAGAAGTACGCTCGCCTGAGGGGAAAGAGACCAAAAATCTGAATTCGTCTCAAAGAAAATCTCGTCAAAATCTCATTCTAACAGGGTGCCACTCCATCTTTTTTTTCAAATCCTTTCTAAAGCTGTGGGGGTGGAACTGCCGCCTAAGCGGAGGACTGGAACGTATCTTATCGCACAGAAGCTATTCGCTCACGCCAACACTTTTTTACGCTTGCCAGCAAAGATCCTATCAAGCACTGACATCACTGCAATGAACTGATTCAATGAGAACGGGGACCTCCTTTGAGTTCTGGTATAGGTCCGAAGTCCAGGCAAAATTTGAAATCTTGGGTTTTCCAGGAAACTTCCAGGAAGGTCTATTCTCTCCCTGTAAAAAGACAAAATCCCGCCAAACGATCAAAAATAATCCTCTTACGAATTTCTCCAGCCTTGAGGTTACCTATGAAGAAATGAAGGTAGTCAAACGTTGAGTGTAGTGTAATGGGGAGCTGCAACCACGCAAATGGACTGGGATCGAGTCCCAGATTGTTCTTTCCCCGGCTAACCGAGCATTTTAATCAAGTAACGTGGTAAAAAGGAGATAAAACTACTGATACCCATTTATCACATCAAATAGAGAATAAAAGGATAAAGTTCATGTGCGTTGATCAATCCTATTTGAGGAATGCGCCCCGCACTCGACTCTCATTCAGAGTCGTTCTGGCGTATTGAATGCGTATGCGGCCTACACAATGACTTAAGGCAGCCAGGCCGATGAACAAATCAGCCTTTCTCCTCCCCGACAAGTCTCGTATCATTGACCGTCCCCGGAGGAAAAAGGCTTAGTTAACCTAAGCGGATGTCGATCCGAGATTTGAACTCCTGGCCTTAGGTGTGTGTGAGAGTCCGCTACTTGACACAGCCCCATCTCCGCCTTGATACATCAAACACTCTCTACTTACTTTACCCATTTTCCCTTTGCTCCACTCACACTGAATGAATAATTTTTCTAAATCGTTTCTTAAAAACGGCCGGAATCCGACAGGAATTACTGAGGACCGCTACAGATTATAGAAATGGTAAGGACGATTGGGTCTATAGGACTTGCAGCCAGCACAAGCCGGCAAAGTCCAAAAGAATGCGAATTTTTATGCACTGTAATAGATGGGCGGGTTTAAATTTTCGCCGGTGTTCATAAAATTCATGTGGCTATCCGAGTGATAGCGCATAAAAGTTAAAATTTAAAACCGAAAAGTCGGCATAATATACTGAGCAAGAGCAGTAAATAATGAAATATGAAGTGGTGAAAATCGAAGTAAAACAATATCAAAAAATAAGCAAATATTATACCAGCCCTGAGAAATACTGCCTAAACTTCGCAATAACCCAACTTTCTTCGGAAATCCCCTAGATTGTTCCATGAGGTTCCCATGCGTGGACACCTCCCATGCATATACACAGAGCACTTCAGGTGCCTCTTTCTTGCCTATTTACCCATATACCCAGCTGTCTACCTATAATCAACAGATACTTCTTTACGTGTTCAGACTACTCCATTGGAACTTGTGTGCAGCATCTGGCTTTGAAACCCTTCTCAATTGATTAGAGGGATCTTGGCTTCCCGTGGGCATGTGGTACAGTTATCCCTTGTTACCTCAACCCCACACCCGGGAGCTTCACCCTGATACCTTTCTGTTCCTTGTTGCTCTGTTGCATCGTACATGTGACGGGTGTTTGGGTTACTGTGTAGCACATTGAGATCAAAACCGGCTTGTTTCCAATTGTGCAGGGAGAGGGGAGGGGGTTGTGAATACCTCGTTCCTACACTCCATTCACTACCTGGAACAAGAATTCCGAGAATGAACCTCAATTTCGTCAGCCGACCGCGATATCATGAATCCCCCGGATATGCTTTATGCTTACACAAGTGGGTAGTGCCCTTTCATAAAATGTTCAAAGAGGCTTCAAAATTTTCCAGAAAAAAATGACAAGTTTGTGAATTTCCTGCGGGTATTCTTGGAACACCCGAATGAACTAGTAAAAAATTCCGGGAATACAATAAAATAATTTAAGAAATTAATTCCAGAAAATTTGTCTTCTGAGCCTGTTATTCGAGTGTTAAGGCTATGCAGTCACTCATGACGTTATAGTAGTAGGTACTGATAGAGTTCGAGAGTAAGGGGCTGAAGAGGCACGAAGATGCAGTTTAAAGGCTTTAAGCGAGAGAGCAGCAGCAGTCACGGGCAGGAAATATGGGTCCTGAAGCGAAAATTGATTTGTAAATATTTCACCGTAGATATATTGCTTCCACGACGATGATTTGGTTGATCGAGGTGATGGTGAGGAGGAGAAGGAGGTGAAGGAGGTGCTCGATGAACATGAAACGGACGATAGTGCTGCAACCAGGTGGCCAACTAAAATCTACGCTACAGAGGGCCCGTAAGGGAGGTTTTAGGCCTGCACTTAGGCACCTGATTTACTGGCGTTTGTTCAGAAAGGAGGTGCAATGAAACAAAAATAATGGTTTCAATTACCTGAATCAGTTTCTCTTGTGATGGTGGTCCCTCAACTGGTGTATCTCGATGTTCACAAACACTTGGTGTAGGAATTTCTTCCCAATGACATGCACACAATTCCCTATCGGACAGTCTGAAATCACATATTTTGACGGCTTTATTGGGACTTTATCGCTCTTCTAATTTAATTTTTATTGTTTATATGCTATTATATGTATGTAAACAACAGTATATGCAAATTGAATCGCATTTCCTAGCCATATAATGGCGATTTGGTTGTTGACTGCTGGGCCGCCCACTATTACTTTCCACATCTACAGCTTGCCAAAGAGCATGGCGCAAATTCCTCGACTGCGGCTCTTGTTGATTCGAAAGCGAAAGTGGATGGCACGCTCATGATCACATCAGGTGATAACTGATAAGAAACCCAATTAGTTGGACTTTGAGGCGACTAATCCCCAATGGAATGTACTACGCCGATGTTGCAAAGTTTTGGGAGGTAGCACTTGACAGGAAATGGTTTGCGACGGGCGTTTGGTAGCTACGGCATGGATCCCCTTAAAAGCCTACACCATTGGGTCTCATTTATAGTCGATCTCTTGCTCTACCCTGGAGCTATTTTCTCGCTAGCAACCAATGTGATCATAAACAGCAAATACAGCCGCTTCGCGGCCGCACGCGGATCATGGTGTTTCTTTAGCCGCACCGCAACCAAGCTCTTAGGTGTTGCGTCGCTCTAACTTCTTCTAATTCAAGAAAGTGCAGCGAGTAAAATGTCTTGACTTCTGAGGACCAATTTTAAGAGAATTTTTGACTTCTACTCAAAAGAAACCTTAGCAAAAATAAACAGTTCGCTATGCTGCATGGAAGTAGAGATTACGCCACTTATTCTTAGACTGGAGAGGTTTTTTTATATAACCCAGTAGGAAGTCAGTACTAAAATATTGTGCGAAAAGCTGATAATTTTCCCCCTCTCCTGTAATTTCCATCTCATTGTTGTTGCGAAAGCAGTGTGGCCACTAAGAAAAGAGCAGTTACACAAAAAATTGAAGAAATAATAGGTAAATAAATAAAGAGATAAATAAATAGATAAATAAATGAACGAATAAATAAATGAAATAAATAAAAAAGTAAATGGTTATAATGCAGTTCATGGCATATCAAAATGGCTTTTTTTCAGCCAAGAGAAATGTTTTGTGAAAGAGGACGCTCAACCAACCATTGGTCCAAACTATTCCTCTACGAGCTAGCATTTGGCCACTCCCTCGTATTTGTCCCGAGTGCAAAAACCAAAAAAAGCCCTTCAGAAGGCTTCATTATGTAATACTGGGNGGGAGAATATGTAATGTGAACCAATTGCATAGGTTCTTTAGCAACAGCCAAACCAATCCAAATCTACAGGTGCCCTTAGACCGTAGTGAGGTGAAGCTTGATAAGAAAGAAGATCCACTAACATTTTCGTGCACAACACTTCCAAGGTACTTGCCAGTCCCCTAGCTAATTTGGAGGCACGGTTCACGATAGAAAAGATTACTGAGTTCTTCTTTTAGGAATACTCAGCGACCCCCATGGTTGGTAGGAGGGACCTCTCACACCCCCAATCTCGACGTTCAGGGCATACTGCAAGCCTTGTTGTTGCCGTGATTGGCTTTCCTGCCCCTCAATCGATGTCAGTCATACGAGATGTAGACGGGTACAGAGTCATGTATTCGCGTCAGGATCCACCCTTCAGCAAGAAATCAGCTGTTTGCCCAGTGTTTGCCCAATAGTGAAGGCAAAATCAGCGGTTTGGGTGTGTTGGGTGCAATTGCAGAAATTGCATCGCATTTCCCTTAACCGCTGTTTTTTTCACTGTGAAACTCGTCCAGCCCCCTTTTCTCCTCTTTTTTGAACCTTTTTATTCCTTTTTATTTGTCGCTTTTTGCGCTTTCTTCGTTATTATCGCACAATTCTGAAGTGGATCTATCATTCCCTGTCAAAAAATGGGTACCCTAAATTTATCGTGAACTGTGCCTTTAATGAATTATCCTATTGGTAAATAGTTTTTTCGAAGATAAATGGAATATGTTTGGATAACACCGTGTATTCCATGAAATCATTGAATTTTGTTGATGTTAAAATAAGATGAGGTTGTAAATTCCTTCCTCAAGCAGATGTTTGTTGCCTTCGCCGAATCAGCCGATAAGCAGCCAGTCATTGTCAGTTCCTTTATCATTGAAGACAATGACATGACTTGTTTTTACCGAGCATGTACAGCAAATATGGGAAAAAAATTTCATGTCCGAGAAAACGAAAATTGGGTCACTGAAATAGAAATCGGCCAATCCCTTTCTTGGGATGCACCCCCAGGTTTGCCTTCCATTCAGAATCGTAGGGACAATTCGAGTGCGCACGTGACCTACACAATGAATTGTAGTGGCCAGCCGATGTGCAAGTCAGCGCTTATATACTTCCAGGCGAGTCTGAACCAACTCATTTATTGTTTGCGACTAGCGCGTTACGAAAAAGGAATTCCCTCAAAGGCCGGTT